AAAATGCTCTACAGGTGTCTCCAAAGGTATTTGTTGGGTTGGCATAGATCGAGATTAGGATTTATCACTTTGTGTTTCGGAGAGATATCTCTGGGCCCTCTCGGTAATGCTCATCACTATAAGCATTGCAAGCAATGTGACTAATGAGTTAGTTGCGGGATGAAGCATTACAGAACGAGTAAAGAGACTTGCTGGTAACGGGATTGAAGTAGGTATGATGATACCGACGATCGAATCTTGGGCAAGTAACATACCGATAACAAACGGAATAACGTATGTTGTTATGCGGTTTGACCGACAAAGCTTCGTGGAATATGTAGGAGCCAATATGAGAATCCAGGTTCCGGGCTATTGATCGGAGATGTGTCTCGATCATGCCTACATAGTTCTCAAACCCGTAGGGTCCGCACGCTTAACGTTCGATGACGATTTGTATTATGAGTTATGTGTTTTTGATGACCGAAGTTTGTTCGGAGTCCCGGATGAGATCACGAACGTGACAAGGAGTATCGAAATGGTCGATACATAAAGATTGATATATTAGAAGGCTATGTTCGGACACCGGAAAGGTTTCGGAAAGGTTCGGGCATTTTTCGGAGTATCGGGAGGTTACCGGAACCCTCCAGGGGATTAATGGGTCTTATGGGCTTTAGTGGAAAAGGAGAGGAGGGCCGCATGGTGGCCCCCCCATGGCTGGTCCGAATTGGACTAGGAGGGCGCCCCCCCACCCTCTTTCATTCTCCCTCTCTCCCTCTCTTGAAAAAGGAACGGGACTCCAACTAGGATTGGGAATCCTAGTTGGACTCCCCCTATAGGCACGCCCCTCCTAGGCTGGCCTCCTCCTCCTCCCTCCTTTATAAACGGGGGCAGGGGGCACCCCAAAGCACAACAGTTGTTCTCTTAGCCGTGTGTGGTGCCTTCCTTCATAGTTTAACACCTCGGTTATATCGTCGTAATGCTTAGACGAAGCCTTGGGCCGGTAACATCACTAACACCATCGCACGCCGTCGTGCCGACGGAACTCTCTCTCTCGTCCTCAACTAGATCAAGAGCTCGAGGGACGTCATCATGCTGAACACAGAGGTGCCGTACGTTCGGTACTTGGATCGGTTGGATCGTGAAGACGTTCGACTACATCATCCGCGTTACTAAACGCTTCCGCTTTTGGTCTACGAGGGTACGTGGACACACTCTCCTGTCTCGTTGCTATGCATCTCCTAGATAGATCTTGCGTGATCGTAGGAAAATTTTGAATTACTACGTTCCCCAACACGTTGTACTACCATGATTAAAGAGGAATATATAGGAAGTTTTAAAAAAAAACTAGTTGCCTTGTTTATAGTTTTTATTTTTATTACAACCATGAAAAGGATCAGGCCCAACTAGCTTATCTGCTACCTAGTTTCCCCTACTTACTGCATCTATATTATATACTTCCCTAAAATAAAAATAAAAACTTAAACTTGCATCTTGATTGTAATAAAATTGTCATGACTGCACAAATGAATTTGTCATAAAAGTAATGGTATCCTTTTGGACTTAGGTAATCATGAAGTTGAAGAAAACTTGATTAGAAAATTTCCGTGCATATTGTAACCAAATTTGCCATGATCATTAAATAAAAAGATTTGCCATGTTGACAATAATAAAATTTCCATGGTAACACTAATGAATTTGCCATAAAATGCTAATGTTAGTTTGCGGACTGAGATTATCGTGCTGCCACCCACCGCTCGTGCCGCCGTCCACCAACATGTTGCCGCCCATGCCGTTGCCGCTCGCCGAGCTGCCATGCCGCCCCTCCTCGGTGGCCACCTCGCGTCTGCGTCGCCACCCGCGGCCATGCTGCCTCGCGCAGGCGACCACCAAACTGTCTCACGCCAACAAAGATCATAAAGAAGAAGCCGTACATAAGACCACCAACAAACGGCCAAAACTCAAGAGCAATGAAGGCGTGACAGGTAAAGGCAACTTGTTCCACCGGTAACCGTCCAATCTAAACCGTTATTCTCCAAAAAGCTTAGAAAAAGGGAAGCCGTACGTGCGCACTACCGGCACACATTTAAGACTCATGAGCAGGAACAGCACTACGCATAAAGACATCATGTTTTTTTTTGCAGGTCAAGACATCATGTTTCACAGATAACTGTTTTCATTAAACCATTTATCGTGATCAAAACTCATAGAAGTGAAGTCGTACGTGCACACCACTAACAAACGTCAAGAACAGTGCGTCGCCATGTTTAAGCTGCGGGAGCCAGGATCCGTAGTCTTTTCCTTACGAATCCATTTGATTTGATTGTTAAATATACTGCATAAAGGTTGTTAAGTTGCAATAGTATAAGGATCCACAGATCCTGGCTCCTTGCCACAAGAAAGAGAACGAGACGTGCTACTAGGACGAGTGTGTGTGTCCTTTTTCGGAAAGTGGGCATGTTTACCCAATCGGGCATAAAATAGACCGTGAAAAATACTGCCTATATTTCCTCCACGGCGTTTGATCCAGACAGTCGAGCCGGCTGTAGGGTCAAAAAGCGTTGAACCGGCAAAGGATTTGTTGGGGTCCGCAGTCCGCACCGGATGTCCATCAACTCGCTGGTGGGTGTCACGCGTGCCACTCTTTGCGAAAGAAATGAAGAGAAGATGAGGGAAGCGACGTCAAGTAGCACCGGTAGATTCCATAGCGCGACAGAGATGGCGATGGTGACCACACGTAATGGACCCCTATAGCAACTGTTGAATGGAAGGATCGAGCAATCGTAGCCTAGGTCAAGCTCGGTGGTGAGCAGGTGCGAAAACCCACATCAAGCACGAGTAACGAGGTCAACCATGACAACAAGTAGTCATGGCGGAGTCAGATGCTAATGGCACACAACCCACGACGAAGACTAGAGGAGACAAGGGAGCGACAATGACCAACACAAGCAGACTCCAGAACGCGACGGAGATGAAGGTGGCAATTTGACGCATCACACTCCTACCATAACCGGGGGATGGAGGGGTCGATTGCCCCTAGACATGGTCGAGCTTGATAGTGAGCATCCACCAAAACCGAGATCACCCGCGGGGCAGCAAGATCAGTCGCGTCGGCCAGCAGTCGCAACTGAGACCATCACACGACGGGGGAGGCGAGGAAGTAGCTATCCAGGAGACATGTGGGGATTTGAACGAACATGGCAACTCCTCTTGGAAATGGCCTCTCCCAACGAGAGGATAACCATGGTGAATTTGCAATTTCCCCTTCTTCCTAACTGATCTATGCCAACTGGCAGACTACGGACCGCGTGATCTCACACCCCGATCTAACGGTAGCGACTGTGTTGCGCCAGTTCGCCCCAGTGCGATCGTCAAATGGTTAGCTTTCATGGAGGTTGGCGGCATAGTTGCTCGTCGGTTAGTGGATTACATGGGAGCTGAAGAGTCAATACATCTATGCCAGTTGGCGTATTACAGACCGCATGATCTTCGCGCCCTGATCCGACGATAGCGATTGCGTCGCGCTAGTTCGCCTCAGTGCGACCATCAGATGGTTAGCTTTCACGAAGATTGGCGGCATACGTGCTCGTTGGTTAACGGATTGCATGGGAGCTGAAGAGTTAATACATTAATTGAATGGTTTTGGAGAAAATTATAAGGGTTGCCTTGCATACGTGTGCTGCCTTGATTTTGCAAAATTGTCCATCTCACCTTAAATTTCCATATAGGAGTAGATGAAGTTTACATTGAAAAAACATACGGTCACACTAATAATAAGCGATCAAATGAGTATCTCTGTCATTAAACTTTGGCCCTAGGAAATGTTGTTGACATTGCTATATTTATAAGCTTTACGCTACTAGATATAGGCATCATGACCATTATAATCAAACTGTTTACTCTAAACAAAGATCATAAAGAAGAAGCCGTACATAAGACCACCAACAAACGGTCAAAACTCAAGAGCAATGAAGGCGTGACAGATAAAGGCAACTTGTTCCACCGGTAACCGTCCAATCTAAACCGTTATTTTCCACAAAGCTCAGAAAAAGGGAAGCTGTACGTGCGCACTACCGGCACACATTTAAGACTCATGAGCAGGAACAACACTACGCATAAAGACATCATGTTTTTTTTTTGCGGGTCAAGACATCATGTTTCATAGATAACTGTTTTCATTAAACCATTTATCGTCATCAAAACTCATAGAAGTGAAGTCGTACGTGCGCACCACTAACAAACGTCAAGAACAGTGCGTCGCCATGTTTAAGCTGCGGGAGCCAGGATCCGTAGTCTTTTCCTTACGAATCCATTTGATTTGATTGTTGAATATACTGCATAAAGGTTGTTAAGTTGCAATAGTATAAGGATCCACAGGTCCTGGCTCCTTGCCACAAGAAAGAGAACGAGACGTGCTACTAGGACGAGTGTGTGTGTCCTTTTTTCGGAAAGTGGGCATGTTTACCCAATCGGGCATAAAATAGACCGTGAAAAATACTGCCTATATTTCCTCCACGGCGTTTGATCCAGACAGTCGAGCCGGCTGTAGGGTCGAAAAGCGTTGAACCGGCAAAGGATTTGTTGGGGTCCGCAGTCCGCACCGGATGTCCATCGACTCCCCTCCCTGTCTCCCCACACCTATAAACCCCCACCCCTGACGCAGCGGAGGCCACATCAGGCCCGCCGTGACATCCCCTGACAGTCTTCCCCTTTCTCGCTACCGAAGGTACGCGCACCCGCTCCTCGCCTCCGTCATCCAGACCTGGATTTCAGTTACCACTTCCTCAATTCTCCCTGCATCGTAGCCGGTCGCAAGCCCTACCGATCGACGAGATCGAGCCGAGCGATTGCCTAGCCCGTGCCCGTACTCAGTTCGATCTTTGCGAGTAGATTCAGCGCCGCTCAGTTCGGTTTTCGCGAGTAGATTCAGCGCAGCTCAGTTCGATTTTTTTACGAGTAGATTCAGCAAAGTTTTTCTGAATTTTCGTGGCAATTTTTCCCTGATCTGGCCGCTCCAATCAGCCATGGTGAAGGAGGCGCCCACCACACCGAGCGCCAAGGGCAAGGGCAAGGGCGCCGCGTCCGCCTCCGCGCCGACGCCGCCGTCCAAGTCCGCCCCCGGATCGGCCAGGCGCAAGAGGGTGTATAAGAAGAAGAAGGCCGATCCGGAGAAGAAGAAGGCGGCCGCCGCCGCTGCAGTCGCGGCCTCCGCCGACGCACCTGCTTCGGGGCCCACGCCGGTGGTTCCCGCTCCGGCCGACGTCGGGGCTTCGGCCGCCCTTGTGGTCGCCGAGAACGGCGGCGCTGATGGGAAGATGGTCGCCAAGGCCAACGGTGATGGCGATAAGTCCGTCGCCAAGGCCAACGGTGATGGCGATAAGTCCGTCGCCGAGAACAAGGGTGATGGCAGTAAGTCCGTCGCCGAGAACAAGGGTGATGGCAGTAAGATGGGCAGTGGGAACAGCAGTGCTGACAGGAAGAGGGGCAGGAAGGATAAGATGAGGGGGAGGGCGAAGGGGGAAGGACAGGGGAGGGTGAACCCGAAGGTGGAGGAGAAGGAGAAGAAGGACGATGCAGTGGGGGAGGAGAGGGGCAGTGCTGGGTTTATCTTCATGTGCAGCGCAAAGACGAAGCCGGAGTGCTTCCAGAACAGTGTGTTTGGCTTGCCCAAGGGGAAGATAGATGTGGTGGAGAAGATCCGACCAGGGGCGAAGCTGTTCCTGTATGACTTTGACCTGAAGCTTCTCTATGGGGTGTACAAGGCAACGGCAAGAGGAGGGATGGATCTTGTGCGACGTGCGTTCAATGGGAAATTCCCTGCTCAGGTAATTCTTGGTCATTGTTTGTGTGTGTATGGTCCATTCTTATGGTAGTAGAGGTATATCACCTGTCCTGAAGGTATTGTGTGCTAAATCGTATGGTTAGGGTATGTAAAAAGCCTCACAAGTTAATACCGCAGACAATGGCCTGATAGGGTTTTCTGATTGATCCTTTGAGAAGGCTCATTAGTTATGTGTTGAAATTCATGTGAGTTCGATGGCATGCAAACTCGAAGTTTGGATATGCGTGTATGCTTATTGAAGTGAAAACGACATATTTTTCTTGTCTCGCTTGGCAACTTTCTACGTCATTAAACTTAAAATAGTTATTTTTGCTAAATCTATATTTCCTTACAAGGCTTGTGCTTTAAATTTTTTTCATAATGAATCGGAATGGTTACTAGTGAGCACTAATTCTTATTTTAGTTTCCTTGATCATTAAATGTCCATGGCGGTCTAGCATTGATCATGTGGGAGTTGTCATTTGTTGCGTCAGTAAGTATTTGCTAAAGTAGCACAGGGTGCAAAGGTCGTGGTATATTGGAGCACATCCTAGCATACATGATGTTACGTGGCAAAGGGTGAGGTGGAAGTCTTCTTGAAATGATGGTAGATAGAACACCTCTGATCAAGTTAGGAAACACACATGATCTTTTCATGAGAGAATGCCACATGTCCGAACTATTTTTAATTAATAGAGGCAAAGTAAACCATTTGTTCCCTTCAAAGTGTGTTGATTTCTGTTAAGAAGTTATATGTGTTGCACTTTGCACAGTAACCAAATTAATGGTGATCTCAGGCTAAGTAGAAAGAAATAGCTGTTCATCTTTGAGTTTCTGGCCTAATCTTTTTTGGTAATTAGCTCAATAGTTTGTCTGACCTTCAGAAGAAAAATCGGCGGATGACCTTACACGCTTACACCCATGTTTGTAATGATATACCTAGCGAAACATATTAATTCTGAGTACTGGTAGATGGCAAGGATTAATTGTGTGGAGGGAGCGAGTAAAATGGTATTGGAACATGCGTATGCAAACACTACTGATCATCTATAATCCCTTGTGAAAGCAATATTATGCAAACAGTACTGATCATCTATAATCCCTTGTGAAAGCAATATTATGCACAGATCTCTATAATAGAGCTATGGGTGTGTTTGGTTTGAGCCCAACATCACCAAAAGTTTGCTAGCCAAAATATTGGCTAAGGTTTTGGTTGCCCGTGTTTTGGCCAATTTTGGCAAAAAAAAATTGGACTAGAGTTGACTAGAGCACTTGGACATTCCAAAATATTTGGCAACCATCCAAGCAAGAGCCAAAATTTTGGCTATGACCAAAAAGGTTGGTATGGTTGGTTTTGTCACCAAAACACACCCTATGTTTGCCGTGGAATTCTAATTTCTCTTTATATCCCATGTTGATTAATTTGCATTGTTATATTTTGTGTTTGCCAAAATCTATGGTGATCTTGGTTCTTTTAATATCTTCTATATATCCATTTAGTGTGGGATGTTTTAGACTTGGAAAGCTAACATGGAGCTTCTTTTAGCATTGTTTTCATCTTTCATGAAGATGAATGATAGGTCAATGGAGATGATACTAAGGACAGTTTATTGTTTTAACTAATTTGTGCGCTTGATGCAGGTCAAATTCAGGATTGATAAAGATTGTCTTCCGCTTCCTGAGAGTAGTTTCAAGCATGCCATTAAGGAGAACTACAATTCAAAGGGAAAATTCACCCAAGAGCTCAATTCTAGACAAGTAAGCCATGACAATTATTCTAAATTGTGTAATTTGAAATGTATCCAAAACTGAAATAAAACTAAAATAACATTTTGCATGTTCATGATGTAATTTATGGTTCTATTTTGTAGGTCCGTAAGCTACTAGCACTATACAAGCCAGTTAACATACATCGGCCATCTTCCCAACATGTTCAAGAAGTTCGTCGGACAAACCGTGTTGAGGGGCGCATGCCTCACTATGTTGAAGAAAGGCGACAGCCATATGATTATGAAGAAAGGCGGCTGCCACGACATCATGAAGAAATGCAACACCCACAATTTGTTGAAGGAAGGAGATTAGCCTATGATTATGAAGAAAGAAGGCCATCACTCCATGTTGAGGAAATTCGACGCCCACAGTTTGTTGAAGAAGTTCAGCCACCTACATACTATCATGTTGCTCCTGCTCCTCATGGTTCTTACCATCCACATCAAGCTAATGTCATTTATGAAAGGTGAGTGGTCATTATCTTATGTTCGTATATTGTAATTGTGTGCTAATTTCATTTATTATAACAGAAAATATTTTTAATTAATATATTTTCAAGCATGGCAGTCAATTTAATAGTACAATTTTTTGGTTGCTTCCTAATTGAATTATGAGCAGGGAACATAGCTTTTCACCATATTTTCGTCCATTTTATGAAAGTATGTTTGAAATTGATGTTTAATTATGAAATTATTAGAAGGTCGTAATTCTTTTGTAATCCTTTAGCGGGGCACTTTGTTACTCTCTGAATGCAGAATTTCTCCCACCAACTATTCGTTCAATGGGTTGTTTCTGTGGATTCTTTAGTTTGGCGCTGAGTGTAAGATAGCTAACCAATTCACCTCTTTCTAAAAGATATATGATTGATAACTGTAGACTATTTTGATTCATATAAGAGTGATAATTACCCTAGTAAAGGCTGTTTTATGAGAATCTGGGATTTCATTTCAGAAGAAAAGAACTATTGAATCTAGGAGACTTGTTCATTCTTTCCAAAAGTTTGTCTGACCCATCAAGGAAAGGGTTACTGCACTGGAGGCCCCTACAATTTAGGGACCTTACTGGCACTTCATTTTACATGCTCATGGTCCTCAATTTTCTCTTTTTAGAAAGAAGTTTAGCCTCATGTCAGAACCTTTCCATCATGATTCTAGAATTTGCGTACAGTATTTGTTAGGCAATTAATTATGAACAGACTAAAACATTTAGGAACAAAAAGCAAAATTGACATGTATTACATCTGTTCCGAAATATAAGTCACTGGGGGAGTTCAGTTTACACTCCCCCAACAAATTATATTTAGGAACAGAGGGAGTATTAATATTTCAAGATGTAGTTGAATGTGTTTTTGACATCTGTGGAAATAACACCGAGCCTGCTTTAAGGTTTATATCATGTTGTCTTGATGATTGCGGTCTTGTACAAGTGTAAACCGTGCATTACAACAAAAAATGTTTTGATTTAATTGTTAGCTAATCATGTACTCCCTCCGTAAAGAAATATAAGAAACGCTCTTATATTTCTTTACGAAGGGAGTAGATATGCTCGGATGCTTGATGAATTCTGACCTTGTTGAACTACAATTCTGCTCCCAGGGCTCCAGGTGATCCCGCTAGCAGGGTGGATCCATTCCTTCCAAGAGACTACAGGCTGCCGCCACAGGAGGTAGCCGCGCACCCCAGCTACGCTGACGAGATCTACCGTGGTGCTGCTTACCCAGCCGCTCAGGACCCGTCCTACGCGGCCAGGCCCGCTGCTTACCCGGCAAACCTCCAGGGGCCTGCTGCTTCAAGGGTGCCGGTGTCCTCCCTCTACTCGTTCGCCGGAGCACCGGCGTACAGATGATCGCTACAGCGGCTGCTCTGAAATCGGTCCTGACCAGCATGATTCGCTGGTTGGTGGTGTAGCTAGCGTCGTCTTCTGATACATACTGTAGTCGTTTGTTGGATACCTGACTTGGATGTCGTTTGCCACAAGTGTGGTACTGGAACGTGTCGTTTGCCACAAGTGTGGTGCTGGAACGTGTCGTTCGCTGTTAAACAAGTGACTTTCCTGACAAGTGCTGCCGTGGTCTTGCAAGTGTGGTCTGTTTTGTGATGAATCTCGGTAGTTGGTAGTGCGTAGCAAATCGGTATGGTCTACTTTGTGATGTGATGAATCTCGGTAGTTGGTAGTGCGTAGAAACTCGGTAGATTTCATCTTCTTCGAAGTTTAATACTCCCTTCGTTCCTAAATATAGCATGTCTTTCTAGATATTCTAATATACGCTACATATATATGGATGTATTTTAGAGTGTAGATTCACTCATTTTGCTTCTTATGTGGTCTATATTGAAATCTCTAAAAAAACTTATATTTAGAAACGGAGGGCGTAATTCCTGGTCAAGTCCTCCAGGCAGGAGGGAGGGAATCTTCTATAGCTCATCAGGGTCTCGAGCACATAGCCTGGCCGGCCGGGTAAAGCCAGCGGAGGAGTCAAAAGATCAACGCCGGCGAAAAGGAAGGGACTAGCTCGGGCTACCGCTCCACGCTGGGAGGAAGAAAAATCTACCTGTACACGATTTTTGACGCGAAAATCCAGAGAAACTTCCCGTGAGGGCTGAGGGGTACACCCGTACGCCACACCATCACCGTTGGGGCCGTGGATCCACACGGTGGCGTACACGTACGCGCTCGCTCGCTCGCGCGGGCCGTTTGATAACCTCCGGCCCCGCTGCGGGATGCGGCCAGCGCCCGTCCCCTCGTCTCCTCCCCCCTCCCTCCCTGTCGTCGCACGGACCGACGGCGACGGCCGGGCCCCGCCCGCCCGCCTGGCCACCGCGCCTATATTCCAGCCTCCCCTCTCCCTCCCACCCGCCTCCCTCCAGCGCAGCCGCCAGCCTCCGCTGAAAAGTCCTCCAACCCCAAAGCTCCCCCCTCTCCGTCGGAGAGATCCGGGCCGCCTGCCCCCAATCCCGCCGCCCCCCGCCTCCGAATCCGCGCGGCGTCCACGGGCGTCGGGCGGAAGAAGCCTCGCGCGCGCGCGCGCGCATTTCCTCCGTCGCCTCGTCTCGCCGGGGATTCGGGAGGGGCTGGGGCCCGCGAGGGAGGGAGGCGGGATGCCGATTGGGGTGTCGGACGAGCTGCTCGGCACGTTCGTGCCGATCGCCGTCTACTGGCTCTACTCGGGGCTCTACGTCGCGCTGGACGGCGTGGAGCGCCTCGACTCGTACCGCCTGCACCCCAGGGGCGAGGAGGCCGCCAGGAACGTCGTCTCCAGGGGCGCCGTCGTCAGGGGCGTCCTCGTCCAGCAGGCCTTCCAGGTCGTCGTCGCGCTCACGCTCTTCGCGGTAATCCTCCTCGCCCTTTCCTGTCTATATTCCTTCTGGTTTGCAGATAGACCACCTGAATACGTAGCTTTGGCCTTTGCTGTAGTGGCAACAATGATTTTTAAGGCCTTTGCTGTATTGGTAACCATGATTTTGAGCTGCAAAGTGCCTTTTCTCTTTGCCTCTTCCATAAATGGCACTAGTAGATAGAGAGACGCTTGATAAGCTATCCTGATTCGGAGCTAAAGTGAGTGGCTTACGACGTCGTTGTCTTGGATTGTTTTGGCATGTAACTACCGCATTCCACATAGAGCAAATTTTGGGACCTGGCTATCTGTGATGAAATGAAATATTAAGGAAAGGAAATCAGCATTCCATGCTTATAACTGCAGTTTGGTTTCTGGAGAGTTGCTCAGCCTTACGATTTTGCGTTTATACTTGCCATGGAAGATAAGAAACTGACCGTTGCTAACAAAGAAACCTGACCCTCTGAAATAGTAGCGAGGAGCTGATTCTAGTATTGCTGCTGAGAAGCAGTTGTATATTTGTACAATAGCATACAACATGTTACAAACCCCAAAATTGATGTACCACAAGCTACACTTTATGTTGACTGAAAGTATAACAACATAGCTTCTCATGGGGAAAATTTGATTTGCAGGAATGCCCAATTTAACGAGCAGTTTTTTGAAGTAATACCAGGCCTTTAAAATTCTTGTGTAGTTTACCTGATAGCTTCATTATACACAAGTTACTAAAATGGTTAAATTTTCATGAACTGCAGGTTATTGGCGATGAGAGTGGTATTGCACCGAAGCAGCCTTCTGCTGTGGTGATAGTGCTGCAATTTATCATCGCGATGTTTGTCATGGACACATGGCAGTACTTCATGCACAGATACATGCACATCAACAAGTTTCTGTATAAGCACATCCATTCCAAGCACCACACTCTTGTAGTCCCTTATTCCTTCGGGGCTCTTTACAATCATCCTCTCGAGGGCCTTATTCTGGACACCATCGGCGGTGCTCTCTCATTTCTCCTCTCTGGTATGACTCCACGAACATCCATATTCTTTTTCTCGTTTGCGACCATCAAGACAGTGGATGACCACTGCGGGCTGTGGCTTCCCGGTAACATCCTCCATGCGTTGTTCAACAACAACACTGCTTACCATGACATCCACCACCAGCTCTATGGCAACAAATACAACTTTTCGCAACCTTTCTTTGTCCTCTGGGACAAGATACTCGGGACATACATGCCATACTCTCTCGAGCACCGGAAAGGAGGAGGGTTTGAGTCCCGGCCAGTCAAACCAGTAGAGCAGACCAAGGCTGATTAATACGTGCATATTCTCTGATTCTCGTTCTGCTTAGATCCGATACACGCTGTCCTATCACGCCACCTGATTCTCTAACTATGAAAATGCTGTAGAAGTCTTATATCCTGGTTCATACAGTGAGGGTTTTTCGTGTTTTCTAACACTTTCTTTCTTTTGATTTGGTTTGGGAGTCCCATCTTGTATCAAGGTATAGCGGGTAAAATATTGTATTGTACGAAAGAATACTCAGCATCCACTTGGATTTGTCTCCTCTGGATCGGTATGTACTTCAATCCACATGGTGATGTTAACAAAGAAGGATGATATTAACACTACACGCAGTATGCAGCATCGTGTTGTCCTGCCCATTTGGTTGTCTTCTTTTTCATTTATGTGTTGTGTTGGATGAATGTGGACATATAAGCCTTCTTTCTGCTGTGTATAATAACCTGCGGAGATGATCCACCAGTGAGCTTTATTGAAGTATAGTTTTGTTTCTGGAGATGATCCACCGGTGAGCTGTGCTGAAATATAGTTGTTTCTGGAGATGATCCACCGGTGAGCTGTGCTGAAATATAGTTTTGTTTCTGCTGATCATAATCACTATTTGACCACAGAAACATCTGTAAAGCTTGCGGAGGTGCCCTTGCAGCTCTGTGTTTTAGTTCTGTAGTTCTGCTGTCAGGCACTCGGGCTATGTTGTGGCGCCGCCAGTCCAGGACTAAACTGAATTTTGTTTGTTCGTTGCAACAGAAGCTTATCTGTAAATAGCTGCTTTCAGGACATCACAGTTTCACAATCTAATTACTACGCATACTTCTTGTCATGAAGTGGCAGGTTTGCTACTTCCTCTGTCCTGTAATATAAGAGCGTTTTTTACACAGAAGATTACTCTATAGCAGCTGAAACGTGTTTGCGCTATGACTACGATCATCTGAGCCAAAAACCTCAACCCAAATATGCCTAGAACATGAACCAGAGTGTCGGACAACTGCTCTGAATTCCTGGATCCTTGGTTAACGCCAGTGTGAAAAGTTCATAAAAGCTTTTTTTCAATGAGGCAAGATTTGTCTGATTAATGGGAGTAGTAGATTAGAATTTACAAAGCTAGCGCACAGCGGAGTGACCTGACCGCTAACAAGATCTCGGCACAAATAACAACACAACCGGATCATCGACACCAATAACAACACAGCCCCATCCTCCCCTCCTTTTTGTCATAACTATTGACCCGTTTTAGCAAATCTCCGACGTGGTGACAAGGAAGGGCCTACCGCACAAGATTCGAGGGAGAGGGGTCATGGTGCGAACCTCTCTCTGTGCGGATGACGCGGCTGTGTTTGTAGCGCCGATCAAAAGAGATGTGGACACCCTGACGGCCATTCTAAGAGGTTTTGGTGAAGTCACCGGCTTGTGCACTAACTTTCATAAGAGCTCGATGGTTCCCATTCGGTGCAGCAACCTCGGGTTCCCATTCGGTGCAGCAACCTCGACTTGGGCCGCATCACTCAAGGGCTACCAGCTATTAGGGCTTCCTTTCCGCTCCGTTATTTGGGACTCCCGCTCTCTGTGTGGAAGCTGAAGCTCGCTGACCTGCAATTTCTTGTGGATAAGGTGGCAATCAGATTGACAACATATGAGGGTCAAAACATCACCACCATTGGGCGTGCGGCACTTGTCAAGTCGGTTCTCGCTTCCCAAGTGATCTACTTCATCACGCCGCTTGTCATACAACCCATCATCCTGCGAAACACCGACAAGCTTGAGCGGGCCTTCCTATGGTCATGGCCGGATAAGACAACCGGAGCAAATGCAAGGTCAATTGGGACATTGTCAGTTGGCCGCTTGCCTATGGTGGACTTGGAGTCCTCAACACCAACAAGTTCACACGGACCATGCGTTTGCGGTGGCCTTGGTAAGAGTGGAAGGAGCCCACAAAGTTGTGGGTCAGGAGAGGGAACCCGTGTGATGAGGAAGACCTCAACTTTTTCTATGCCTCTACCACCATCACGGTCGGGAATGGTGCAAGGACTCCTTTTTGGGACTCCCCTTGGCTTCTTGGACGCAAGCCCAAAGACATTGCTCCGCTCATTTACGAGGCTTCCTCCCGGAAGCACTGGAAGGTACGTGAGGCCCTCAAGGAAAACGCATGGATACTCAAAATCAGACCGTCCGCATCGGTTTCCATCGAGCATGTCACACAATTCTTCAACCTTTGGATGCTACTGCATGAGGTGCACCTTGATGAGTTTGCTGAGGATGACATTCTATGGAAGCACACAAAATCTGGGCACTACTCCGCAGCCTCTGCTTACAGGGCGCAATTCTTGGGCTTGGTCCTCTCCCCCATGGACCTATTGGCGTGGAAGGCTTGGGCCCCACCTAAAGTCAAGTTCTTTGCTTGGCTCGCGCTTCAAGATAGGATCTGGACTGCCGATAGATTAGATAAGCGAGGTTGGCCAAACTATGGCCCTTGCCCCTTGTGCAGGGGGGTGCAGGAATGTGGTCCCCATCTTTTCTTCAGATGCCACTTCATTATCAGGCTTTGGAATCTGGTTATTCAGAAATTCCGCATCCACGACATGGACACCTCTGCATGGCACTTGTTCTGTTCACGCGTGGTGGGCGAGCACGAGCGTCGTGGGCGATGCCGACTGAAAAGCGAAGACATCGATTACCATGCCGGTGACGTGGGTCATTTAGAATGAGCGTAAGTGCATAATATTGGGGAACACAGTAATTTCAAGAAATTTCCTACGAACATGCAAGATCTATCTATGTGATTCATAGCAACGAGAGGGGAGAGTGTTGTTTACGTACCCTCGTAGACCGAAAGCGTAAGCGTTATGACAACGCGGTTGATGTAGTCATACGTCTTCGTGATCCAACCGATCCTAGCACCGAACGTATGGCACCTCCACAATCTGCACATGTTCAGCTCGGTGACGTCCCACGAACTCTAGATCCAGCTGAGGTCGAGGGAGAGTTCCGTCAGCACGACGGCGTGGTGAAGGTGTTGATGAAGTTACCGACATAGGGCTTTGCCTAAGCACTACGACGATATGACCGAGGTGGAACATGGTGGAGGGGGCACCGCACACGGCTAAACAATCAACTTGTGTGTCTTGGGGTGCCCCCTGCCCCCGTATATAAAGGAGCAAGGGAGGAGGCCGGCCGGCCCTCCTTGGTGCCCCCCCAAGAGGGGAATCCTACTAGGACTCCAAGTCATAGTAGGTTTCCACCAAAAGGGAGAGAGGGGGAAGGAAGGAGAGGGTGAGGAAGAAGGAAAGGGGGGCGCCGCCTGTCGTGGTTCTAAGTCTGACAGTAGAAAGGGGGGTAGGTATGGAGAGGCAAGATCCTAGCTATGGTGAAGGTGTACACCCGATGTTTACGAGTTCAGGCCCTTCTCGGAGGAAGTAATAGCCCTACGTCTCGGTGCCTGGAGGCGGTCGATGGGATTGTATGGGTTGGATTACAGAGGGTGCGAACCCTTGTGCCAGAGGAGGGAGGTGGCTTATATAGAGTGCGCTAGGACCCCTGCCTACCTCCATTACAAGGGAACTAATGTACATAAAGTAGGGGCGTTACTGGTAACGCCAGCATTAAGTACTCTTAATGCTCATGAAGACTAAGGGGTAAATATCTGGCCGTTGTGTGCTCTCCTGACTACTGGTCTTCGATATGGTCGAGTGATCCTCCTTGTGGTCGAGTGACGATAGGTAACGACCATCGAGTGATGTGACCATCGAGTGGATTGCACTCGACGTATGAGATTGGTGCTCTTCTGTTGACTCTTGGTCTTTTCATCTTCCAGGGTAGGGACCTTGGGTAGGACATATGGGTCGAGCCTATGACCCTACCCCAGGTCTGTATCCTCGTCAGTAGCCCCCGAATGGATTAAGGTGTGAGCAGAAAGTAAGACAACGTTGGACCTGTCCTGTGTTTCGTGTCTCCGCGAGTGTTTCTTGTTGGACTAAACACATGCGTTGATACTTCGGAGTCAACTCGGTTGCCTTGATCCATTCAGAAAGTCGTCGACTGAACTGGTGGCCTCATGCCTCGAGTGTCGTGTGGGAGCGTGAGATCTCGGGCGCGATTGCCTGCAGGGAATCCTGGATTCCGCGGGATACAAAATTTCGGAGGCGCGCGCGGGTAGGAGGGCACCGTAAAAGGGGGACCCGGACGAGCCGAGACGCCTCGATTATTGTGCCGCCTTTTTTGCCACATTCGCTGCGCGCAACTGTAGCAGGATTTGACGGGATTGCCCGGCCCCACGCGTCAGTCACTCGGAAGTGAGCCTTTATAAGGCGACGGGACCGGGGTGTTTGCACTGTGCACGCATGCCTCTTCTTTTTCTTCCTCTGCTCCTCCGTTGTACCCAGTGCCTCCGCCTCCAACGCCACCGCTTCCCCACCATGGTGAAGGACAAGACTGCGGCGCTAGAGCACGCCAAGAAGGCGACGGGGGCGGCGAAGGGCAAGAAACCAAGCCGTGGATCGTCATCGCGCTCGGGGTTACCGCCGGGCTGGATCCAAGGCGATTGGATCTGGTCTTCGATTCGGCAGGAGGATCTGACCGAGCTGGAGGAGTCCGGGCTGATCGCGGTGGGGGAGGCTAGGCTGCCGAAGGGAGAGACGGAGCCACATCCTCGATCGGGTGAGTGTGTTTTGCTCGCCACACATGTCGACCGGGGCTTCTCGCTTCCTCCGCACCCTTTCTTCCGTGGGTTCTTGAACTTTTTCGGGGCACAGCTCCACCACTTTTCCCCCAATACCATCACGTACCTAGCCACATTCGTGTCGATGTGCGAGAATTTTTTAGGATGCCGACCGCACTGGGGTCTCTTCAAACACATCTTCACTATTCGTTCCTAGTCGGTTAAGAAGGCGAAGTCGAGTGACTCGAAAACCCATGTGATCCAGATGTGCGGGGGTTTGGGTATCCTAAAGAGGAATAGGAGTGCTTTCCCTGCTGTGACCCTTCCCGAATCTGTCAGGGGCTGGCAGTCGTCCTGGTTTTAC